AACGGGTCAGTTATGCTGCTAAAATTAGAATTCTTCTTTATTCATATCCTGTCTGGCTTAAGTGCACACCTTGCTACTTTCAGCCTGGGGATGTAGGAAATGACACACCACACAACTCGAAGCAGATTCAAGAGTATTTGTGTATTGTCTACCTGAATTTGAATACATGGTTACACAGTTTTCATCCTCATTTGCAAAATTGGGTTCCCCTGTGGCCCAAGACACATAATCCACCTTGCTTCCGTCCATCCAACTGGAAAAGAAATTTCAGGCATTTCGCAACAATCCAATCATTAGAACAATTGGCTACAGTCTACTGGTGGGAAATGATAATTCAATCCAAAAGAGGGAATGTAGAGAGAATGGTGGGAAACCCCAAATGCCTAGGTTGTAGCAACCCCTGATGTCTTGGCTAGGCTGTCTTCTTTTCCCTCCCTGGAAAAAACTACCTTTAGTCCTGAAGTGGGAGAAGAAACAGAGATCTCAATTGCTCTGGAAGTGAGTCAGAAACAAAAATCCTCCCACAGTCCTCCTCCGGCATGATTCCTACAACACAAAACCACCCATGGAGAGGTAGAGGACCTAGAATTTCTCATTAGGCCCACTCTCTGATTCTGATGTTTACTCTGGTTTCTTGTAAGGAGGTGGGCCAATGCTTATTTTCACAAATTTTAGAACATCAGAGACTGTGAGAGCTGGAAGGGGACCATAAGATCATTGAATTTGACCTTTTCATTTTAGAGATGATAAAATGGGTGCTTGTCCAAAGGAACATCAAACATTTCTTGTTCTTTAAAGATAGTAACCTTGAGTTTACATCTCTATTGCTGCTCTAGGATGGCAATAAAGTTTTCCAGAATATATGTGGCTATAATATCTGTGCATGAGGCAGGGAGACATAGCTGCCCTTCAAACTCTGGAGAACACGCTTATTAATGAACAAGGAGAGAAACCCCCAAAATGTACTGATTTCCTCACTCTCATAGCTTTCCATGGCTCCTATATCTAATGGAAAACAATATAACCATTCCTTTAAAGGGAAAACATTTTATGCAGTTGAAAGAGTACTTCAAATTGTTAATTAATAGTGCTGCTATTACAGTGAATGGTACAAAAAAAAAATCTTTGGTTCCAGACACCAAGATTAGTCCAAATGGGATCATAAGTATTGAAATAAATTCATTATTCACATCTGTTCAATACATCTTTTTAGTAGATTATTTACTGACAGAGAATGACATCCAAAAATAAAGGGAGGTGAAGTTTTCTAAGATTAAATCCAAT